AAGCTGCCAGAGCAATCACAGATAAGTGTGAGGTATGGCAAATTATCATACTTGGGTGCACTAGAGATCTATAAGGAAAAATGTGGGGTCTCAGGCAAAAACTTCAGGAATCACCCTTACATTATCTTAATTGCAGAGGCATCCATAATTCCAAACTAGCTCCAAAGTACAACGATAAAATTAGCTTATTTCATTTATTTTTATACTGAAGAACAAGTAAAACAATGGGCTATCTAGACAGACTTTTGGTACTAAAATGTTAGAATGATCTTTGTAAAAAAAAAATTATATCCCATTTTTTTACATCTGTATATAGTTGTAAAAACACATGTACATCAAAGGACACAGATTTTGCAGTCTAGAAAAAAAACAAAAAAAACACCCTTTTTTTAAAATACAGAAATATGTTGTAAAAGTGAAAGTAGAGCTAGCTTCAAATAAAGTAGAAATAGCAAATGGCTTGACTTACAAACCAACCATAACACTAAAGTATTTATTCAGTAAATAGTGTGTTGAAATAAGCTTAAAAATCCACTCTCAAAATTTAGGACTAAACAGCCAAGCTTAATTTAAGAGTTAGGCAGCTTTGGTCAAAGTATTGCGGGTCAGTTTCTACAGGATTAAATACAAACATGTATTCTAGACACTATAGTGCTAAGTGATTATTCGAGAGCATCAATACTGATGATCTGAGCCAATGCAAAGCTTTCCTATAGGAAAGCATTGGGAGGCTATTGTGTATGTGCGGCAGAACGTTGCGCTGTGCCAGTCAGCATCTCCTCATTGAGATGCATTGAATCAGTGCATCTCTGTGGGGAACGCTCAGCATCTCCATGCAGGGCGTAGAGTTGCTGAACACCAGTGCTGCACAGTGTAAACTAGGAAGCACATCTAGTAAACGTCTGAGTGACTGCCACTAGAAGTGTTACTAGGCAGTAATGTAAGCTGTAGTGGTTCTGGTGACTATAGTGTCCCTTTAAGAATCATACAGCTTTGATCTAAATGTTGCATGTCAGTTTCTACCACAGTTGTCGGTCTATAATTAAATCCCTATATTGACTAACATTACAATTGTTAAAATAACTACATTACTAAATAATCATTTGCATTGTGACAGTTCATTTGTATACACATCCGCCCCATAGAAAGGTGTGTGCTTTTCTACTGAACAACCTGTAATGTCAGTGGAGGAGGATTGGGTTGAGGAAGATCTTGGCCTTATTGCTGGAGGAGAGTTTAAGTTTTTTGGGTTGGTGTAACCCTACAACATCGACATAAAGAGTCTAATTGGCAAACATTGAGAAATAGAAGAGGAATATTCTAAATGAACATCAGAAAGACAAAATGGCAAGTGCATGCAATGCTTACAGATGAAAAGCAATCTATATACTCTACAAACAGTAGAATGCAGCATCAACATAAAGTCACATACACGTTAATTCACTAAAGTGAGAATTCAAAGTGAATCTCAGTGTTAAAGGACCACTATAGTATCGAAACACAAACATGGATTTCTGACATTATAGTGTTTAACTATTTAGGTCCATGGCCCCCCTTCTAGTTCAGTTAAAAGGTGCTTATTCACTTTTTTTCCCAGGCCATGCCAATCTTATTGCGCCTCGCTCTGCATGGCCCACATCCATGGCCGGTCTGTCCTTTGGCAGCAGTGGGGCCACCGCTCCAGGTGGCACTTTTACAGCCCTGTACACGTTAAAGTACCTGAAGTGGATCCTGGGCCGCCTATGCATATATATATATATATATATATATATATATATATATATATAGCAATGACCACTATATATACATGCAGCTCTGGGCCCCTGCTACCCTGTCCTGTGTAGAGGGGGCGCAGGGGTCTGATCTTCCCCTCCTGCAGCTTCAAATTGGCTCCTCTCGTAAAACCACAAGAGCGTTGCCATGGAGGGCAACTCTCAGGTGTGCATTATGTGCCGTGCGGAGCGTTGCCATAGCAACCCGTGGCTCGCAAGAGCAGAAGACATCAAGCTGCAGAAGGAAGATCAGATCACTGGGCCCCCTCTCCACAGGACACAGCAAAATGTACCACTGGACGACTGTGGAAACTAGTGTCCCCCCTCCCTGACCACAGGTAAGAGGCAGGAAGGTGGAAATACACTAAATCATACTTTAAAAAAAAAATAAAAAAAACTGATCACCCCTCACAGCCTGACTACACACAGTACATATACTACACACACAGACACTGCACACACTACATGCACTACACAGAGATACTGCATCCATTACGCACACTGCACACAATCACACATACACTACATGCACTGCACACACTACAGAGATACTGTATACACTACACTTCTCACAATACACAAACACAGGCACAGCACACACTACATTGCATCAACTACACAAACACTGACAATGCACCCACTACACAACATCCATTAAAAAGACACTGTACTCACTATACTGCATCAACACATACACTGCATCCACTACACACACACTCTGTATCCAGTATACACATGCATACAATGCATTCACTATACACACTGCATACAATACACACACTGCATCTCCTGGATGTGCACAAGGTTTTGGGGAGGGGGGAGCATTTCATCCTTTGACCCAGGCAGCACAATGTCTTGCCGCCTCCATGGCTGAGATCATGGTGGTTATGATGCCAGCAGTTTTCCAATGGTTTGCCCTCTTACTCGGGTCCCCACTGGATGCCTAGTCTCTACTGGATACATATAATTGAAATTAGCCAATGATGCCCAAGTGACTTTGACAGAGGTGGAATTACACCTACAGCAGCAAAGGGTTACATTTTGTAGGTGCAGCTTTTCAGACAATGGGGTACAAACCTGAAATTGAGTAGGGACAGGAACACTACCATGTTAGGAATACAGATTTGCATTCCTAACACTATAGTGTCTCTTTAACTGATCCTCTACAAATGTGCATACTAATCTACTGAAAACAAATTGCTAATAGCAAGTTATCAAATCGTATTCACCAAGTAACAATCTGTCAGTAAGGGGAGATAAAAGAAAGTCATACAGCTTTTGTCCTGGCTCTCAGTAAGAAGTCAAAGTTATACATTTCCTACCGAAATAGATCTACATAAGGGCAAAAATTAACAGTTTCTTATTGACGTATACGCATGTATGCATTACAAGTCTCAAACAAAAGCAGCTCAGAATAAAATTGAATACATGGAAAAATAAATAATAATAAAAACATTTCAACGCTCGTGTTGACAGGAGATTTGAATTTTGAAACCTTTGCCACAGTTGACTCAACCTCATCTGTTTTAATGCAAAATTTCAATTACAAGCTCCTTAAAACATGCCAAAGAGAACCACTGGCATAGAAAAATAAAATAACTGGTTTAGCTTCTAGACAGAACAAAGATGTCTTCTTTAAAATGATTTCATTTCAATGAACTGTGACATGCACTAAAATGTAGAATGGCTGAATTATTAAATGGATGTGGCATGCATAATTCTGATTTCCTTGTCTAGCGCCAGAAATGTACTGGAACTAAATCTTCCTAAGTGAAAAATCTACATTAAAAGGATAAAAAAAGGAATATGAGGCTAAGACAAAGTATGTAAAGTGGAAAATAATTAGGTCACATTATGACACTTTCAACTAAAATGAATTGTACCCGTCAAGATACCAAAATCTAGCCCTTATATGATGTCTGGAGGAGAATAAATGATTTAGATTGAGTGTCTTTTTTGTATCAGAGACTTTAATACAAACCTCGTCTAGCTTTCTTTTGGAAAAATCACTTGTTTGCAATTGTTTCTCAAGCTGAAAGCCTTTTAGACGCTCTTCCTTCAGCTGAATGTTCAGACTGTCGACTTCACTCAGAAAGGTTGCTTGGCTAGACTTCATACTCTTCAGATTCTGTGGGCCAATAAAAAAAAAAAAAACTATGAACAAAAGTATGAAATTAAAGGGTTACTCTAACATCTAGGGCAACCTCTGCTTTTAGAAGTCATCTGCATTTGCAGTGTTAAAATATTTCACAACACTTTCCTCTAATTTAGGAGACCATATGTAGAGGGTTACTCCAACCCCGTTTTAGATTTATTCTGATTTACAAGATTATACAAGGTGGTGCTATAATACATGTAATATTTTATTTGAAGAAAAAAATAATTAAAAAGTGATTATAATTTCCTTTAAAACATACCTCTACTAAATTGTTTGTGGAGTGCACTTATAAATGCCACATTGTGCTGTACAGGCTTGATATAAATTAGTATAAAGTGAAATTCTTTGGCGGTATGAATAACATCTCATTTATTACACAAGCTTGGGTGTGCTGGAGCAATTTGCACAGCCGCTAGGGTCAACTGAGTGCAGATGTGCGGAGTATGATTAATTGTGCTGAAATAATCAAAATAAATTTGCCTTTATAGTGTGCTGTTAATTTGTTTATGTTAAAGGGTTTGTAAAATTCCATCAATAAGGATGACAGCGCCTGTCTAAACTGAACTGTGTTACAGGGAGTCTATGTCAACTGGTTATGATGTTCAGAAGGTCCCTTTAAAATATCTGAATGTAACCCAGATAACCCAGATACTGCTGTAAAGTATGGTGTGGGTATCATCTTGTTTAATAAGCAGGATCTGGTACAGACTTTGTATAGAATGCATATGGCTTGGATAAAGTACAAATCTTTCTCAATGTTATAAGCTACTCGGATGAGCGAAGGTAAAGTATGATGGTAAATAAACCAACAAGAAGTGCTGGCACTAAACTAAGAAACGTAAAAGAAAAAAGAAAAAATTCCACTAGCAAACATCTGCCATATTAAAAGCAATGAAAACATAATAGTCAGTGTGTACCTCTTTATATTAAATTAATTACTTAAAGTGACCCTACAGTCACCAAATCAACTTTAGCTTAATTAAGCGGTTTTGGTGCACTCACTTGAATATGCATAAGTAGGGTGCTGCTGGGAGCCAACTTATACAATAAAAATAGAAAATCCAGCGCACTCCATTATCCCATAAACAGCAACTTCAGTGCTGACAGATTTATTTATTTATTTATTTATTTTTTAAACACCTAATCCAGGCAAAAAATAATGTATGATCATATAATGTAACTAAACCCCCATTATTTTTTGCCTGGATTAGGTGTTTAAAAAAAAAAACAAAAAAAAAAACTAACTAAATCTGTCAGCACTGAAGTTGCTGTTTAGGGGATAATGGAGTATGCTGGATTTTGTATTTTTATTGTATAAATTGTCTCCCAACAGCAACCTACTTATGCATATACAGGTGAGTGCAGCCAGCCCCCTGTTTTCTCATATATATATTTGGGAGTCTAGCCAGGGCCAGCCTTAGGGGTGTGCGAGCTGTGCGGCCGCACAGGGCGCCATGGACCAGGCAGCGCACTGTGGCCAACACAGCTTGCACATGGCCTGTGTCAGGCCGGCCCTGCATACCCCTCTCTGCTGCTTTCAATATCTCCTTCACATGCACCAGCTCCACTGCTTCACATCTCCACTGCTTCAACAGGTACCAGGGTGGAGGATTTCATTATTCTCCACCCGGGTCTATTTAAAAAAATTTTTTAAAAAAATTGCGGCAGTGGGGGCATGGCTTAACGAGTGGCGGAGGCGGAGCCAATACCTACCCGAAGCCCCATGTAACTGCTGCACAGGAACTGCATCCACTCCCCCTTTCAGCCATAATGGAAAGAGGTAAGTCTGTGTGTGTGAATGTCTGGCAATTTGTGACTGTTTGCGTGTGTGTGTGTGTGTGACTGCCTGCCTGTGTGTGTGTGTGTGACTGCCTGCCTGTGTGTGTGTGACTGCCTGCCTGTGTGTGACTGTCTGTCTGTGTGACTGCCTGTGTGTGTCTGTCTGTCTATGTGAATGCCTGCGTGTGTGTGTGTGGCTGTCTGTCTGTGTGACTGCCTCCGTGTGTGTGTGAGGCTGTCTGCCTGCCTGTGTATGACAGTCTGCATGTGTGTGTGCCTGTGCCTATGTGTGTGACAATCTGCCTTTAACTGAGTGTGTGTGCCTATCAGTGTGTGTGAGTGTCTGCATGCCTGTGACCGAGAGTGTATGACTGCTTGTAATGGAGTATGTGTGACTGTCTGCTTGTGACTGTGTGTGCCTGTAACTGTTTGTGATTGTGTGCCTGTAACTGTGTGTGACTGTCTGCCTTTAACTGTGTGTGTGTGACTGTCTTCCTGTAACTGAGCGTGTCTGACTGTCTGCTTGTAACTGTTTGTGTGACTGTCTGCCTGTGTGTGTGATTGTATATAGGCAACTTGGGGGAGGGGTGCCTTATGGCTACACAGCCAGCCCTGAGTCTAGCCAACTCCTTGGTTTTGCACCCCTCCCTGTCACAGGTGCCTCATCCCAGGGCCCTATTTAGCCTGCTGTGCAGAGAACTCTAGATGGAATTTTTCCCCTAAGTAAGTAGCTCATGAAGCAGACTCTAGAGGCTTAGCATGCAATGTATGATCATATAATGTAACTAAACCCCATTATTTTGTTGCCTGGATTAGGTGTTTAAAAAAAAAAACAAAAAAAAAAAAAACAATTTGTCAGCACTAAAGTTTCTGTTTAGGGGATAACGGAGTGCACTGTAGTATTGGTTTTGGTTTAAACATTAGAAATCACTTTACATGAAGTGTTTTAAAAAGGCTGTGTAAGGGAGGTGTTACTAGGAGTGCACAAACAAAATGATTTAATTCCGAAATGGCAGAGAATTAAGCAGTGAGCAGTAACAGACAAATTGTCTCCGTGTTCCTTTAATCTCTCACTAGCACAGTACTTTGGACAAAAAAATAAAAAAGTCTGGAAACATTGCACTATGCCCAACAGCCAGAAGTGTTACTGCATTTATACATTTTGTTTCATCTCCAATTGCCAGTTCGTGATTGACAGCTGCTCACCTAGCAGAGTTCTAAGAAAAACATGAAATTAGAACGATTCACGCATTGTATACAGTACCTATCAGCCATTCAAGTAGCATATAGCCTAATGAGCAAATCAAATTGTTTATTATGCCTGAGGACTTTGAGCTTCAACATCCTCTACGTGCAATGTATATAAAGCTTATTTTTCATATGTTGCCTACACCACTTACATTCATTATGTCGTAATTTGCCCAGTGATGGGACCAGTTTGCTCAAAGGTCAAGTATTCATAAAAAAAAAAGGTGAATTGTCCTGAAGGGAAATAGATTTTTTTTAACCCCTAAAAGACAGCGTATTATCAAGAATATGATTTGAACAAACCCTCAGTCAATGTGGAATTTCATGCTTCTTTAGCACTAACCTTTTTATAGAGACATTTTATATCTGTAGGTACTGACATGCAATGTGGATGTATGATCTATAAGACTATTATTACAATGCACATTGACATTATCCATTCATGGTAAAATGTAAATTAATTGTAGGAATAAAAGTAAAAAATACAATTAGCAAATTAATTAAAATAAATAAATAAATAAATAAATATATATATATATATATATATATATATATATATATATATTGCCCTGTCCATCTGGATATATAAAATTTGAAACCTGCTATGACATATAATATATAATTTTAAAAGATACTTACATCAAGTCCATAGATTCACTTCTAGAATCATATCTGCAATGCTTTATAACACAATTCTGCACCGTATGCCAGGCTATTACAGCTTATATATTTCTAGTCATATACAATGAGCATTAAATGATTCTGGCATTCAGTCCGGAACAAATCTGACAACACCGTATTACAGACATTACCTCTTGAAGTAACTGAAATTTGCTTTCCATCTCAGTTAATGCCATGCTTTTCTCTGAGAGTTGTTTCTGGAGCTTGATCATTGCAACATTGTCTTTTATAGTAGTCCTATGGACAAAACCAGAAATAATTCGATTTTAACATGATGTCAAATAAAAATACACTGATGGGATTTTGGTGTAGAATTGAGGCAGAATATGTTTATACATGGGTATACTGTTTTTATATCCCAAATCACATGGCGTGATGAACCCATAATGCACACTGTGATATGTATGAATTGATACCAGAGAATGACCTCTGACCCCTCCCTTTTCTTATTGATATGTTTGTTTTTATTTGAATATCCATCTCTTCATCTCTGTACCTAGATACATTTCCCCCTCCCTTACCTTTATTGCAAGCTCTCTGACCCTCACATCTCTTTATTCAACAGCCTGATTCCCCAACTTTGCAAACCCATTCCTTCAGTGAGCAAGCCTGATGCTCACCCTCCCCACCCCATGCTCATTATTACATTTATAGATTGTCTGTCACACCTACATTTTAGTTAGGTTAAAAAAACCTGCCTCTTATTAGTACACTCCTGCATTAACCCATAAAACACCTTCACCTGCTCCATACAGCGGGAAACACACTTGAACTTGCCTTCACCAACCTCTGTACTGCCTCTAATCTATCCAATATTCCTTTTCCTCTATCTGACCACCATCTGCTGACTTTTGACATTGGCATACCTAAGAACCAATTGACACCACCGTCTGAACATCACTCTCACAGAAACCTCCAATGTCTTGACCTACAGCATTTCTCCACTAATCTCCAAACTCTCCTTTTACCTATCTCAAACCTCACCTGTCCTAGTTCTGCAACCTCCTTCTACAATTCCACCCTCTCCTCTCAACTAGACACCATGGCACCTTGCACATTTAAATGCTGCAGGCCCCCCCAACAACAACCCTGGCACACCAAGCTCACTCGATACCTCCAAAAATGCTCCAGAACTGCTCGCTGTACATCTGACTTTCTCCACTATAAATTTATGCTGAGCTCATACAGCTTGGCTCTTTCCTCTGCAAAAGTTAATTACTTCAATACCCTCATAACCACACTCTCCCGCGAACCCAAACAACTATTTCACACATTTAACTCTCTTCTTCGCCCTGCTGTTCCTCCTCCACCTACTTACTTGACCGCCTCAGACTTTGCAACTCACTTCACTGACAAGATCTCTACAATCAGAGAAGAGATCTCTCATCTTTCTTCTTCCCCTTACAATACTTCTTGTTACTCCTGTGTCTGTCTCCCTCCAAGTCAACGGTGCTACCATCAGCTTCACCACGCAGGCTCGCTGCCTAGGTGTTCTCTTTGACTCCGACCTCTCCTTCAAGCCTCATGTTCAATCTATCGCCAAATCCTGTCATTTCCATCTCAAAAACATTGCGCGCATCCGCCCCTACTTAACGCCAGATGCGACTAAGGTGCTGGTCCTTTCCACTGTCCTTTCTCGCCTTGACTACTGTAATCCGATTCTCAGTGGTCTTATGTGCTCCCAACTAGCGCCGTTACAGTCCATAATGAATGCGGCGGCGAGACTCATCTTCCTGTCCGCCCTCACCTCCCATGCCTCACCCTTCTGTCAGTCCCTACATTGGCTTCCTATAAAATATAAAGCTTAATTTAAAATTCTGGTTCTTGCTTTCAAATCTCTACATAATGCTGCTCCCACCTATCTATGCACCCTTATACACAAGTATGTCCCGTCTAGGCCCTTACGATCTGCTGAAGACTTACGTCTATATTCTGTCCGTACTCCCACCTCTGATGCTCGCCTTCAAGATTTCTCGAGGGCTGCACCGTTCCTGTGAAACTCGCTTCCCTCCTCCGTTAGATGCTCACCCAGTCTCCACTCCTTCAAAAAATCATTTAAAACCCACTTCTTCATAAAAGCGTATCAATTAAACTGTTAATAGCTCCTGACTGATTCCTCTTCTGCAACTGTCACTAGTCTAATACTATCCTTAACTTTTTGTGTCATTTTACCCTACTCCCTCTAGCATGTAAGCTCATTGAGCAGGGCCCTCAACCCCTCTGTTCCTGTGTGTCCAACTTGTCTGGTTACAACTACATGTCTGTCCGTCCACCCAATGTAAAGTGCTGCGGAATTTGATGGCGCTCTATAAATATCATAATAATAATAATAATAATGAGGAAACAATGTGCCACTAAACCACATATAATAGGAAATCAGAAAATGGGATTCACTTTATCTTAATCATGCGATGGGTGTTCTTGGTGCTGGTTACCATAGTTACACAATCGATGAGCAAATGCAAATTACAGATTTCTTCAACCGCACGCTTTAGGATACCCATATAATAAAACCAATTACATGAATATGATCCGTAAACCCATAAAATTACTGTGGAAAATAATTGAACATGGCAAAA